CCAGCGCGGCTCGGACCCGGGCGGTGGCGGGAGGAAAGATGCCACAGCTCGAGTCCCGGAAGGCCGGGGTCCTGCGTTGCCGGCGTCCGGGTGAGTAGCGCGCGGTCCGGCGGCGGTCTGACCCCGCGCGGCCACCGTCCCCTCCCCGCGGCGCCTCGGGCGAGCGTCTGCGGCCCGCGGCCCGGAGGGCTGGAGGCTGCGCCCGGGCAGGCGGCCCGCGCCCGCTGCAGTGGCTGACGGGCAGGCCTGGCCTCCGTCGCTTGTGCGCTTCTTCAGGCCCGGGTGTTGACCGAGGAGACGCCGGAGACCTCGGCGCCCGCCCCGAGCGACTTCCGGTGGGGCTCGCGCCCATCCCTGAGGGCGGGGGGCTGCGGGCCGCGCGGAGCTGGTGGAAACGGGGGCCAGGGGCTGCCGGAGGCTGGCCGGGGCGGCGCGGCTCGGCTCCATCCCTGTGGCGCCCCAGACATGACTGTGGAAAATGTCAAACATGTGAAAACTGGAGAGAACCGAGTAGCGCACCCCTCACAACCCTCCGTTTCCACAGTATGCGGGCAGCGTTCACGTTTCCCTGTGAGTCTCAAAAAAAAAAAATTTTTTTTACACAGCTGGTTTGTGCCAGTCGGGACTTCAACCATGGCATTTGTTGGATGAGCGTCTTCTAAGTTTCCCTTTTCGTTTATTTTGCAATATACGTACTTGTTGAAATTGGGTTATTTGTCTGGTACCGTTTTCCACATGCTTAAAATTGATGACGTTTGGATAAACATAAAAATGTCACGTCCCCACCCTCCGATTCCGATAGACGTAACCGTTTGAGGGATATTAAAATACTCATGATGGGTTAACTTAGTTTATTTTTATCATTAAAGATTTGGCTCAGCATTCCCGTTTACCTCTGTGTTATGAAAACAATTGGTTGATTTTCCAAATATATATTTTATAATTATAATATTAAATATACTTCCCATACTACTGTGCACCAACAAAATATTGTGTGCTGCTCTCCTCGCCCAAATCAGTGTTAGGCTAGGCTTTTTTTTCTTTTCTTTTTTTTTTTTTTTTTACTCTCAGGTTTTCCAACTTTTATCTAGAAATACCATATGTTGAGATCTGCTCTGCCTTCAGAAAAATCAGAATCAGAAAACCTGCCCTCAAATATGAATATGTTGAGCGTCTGGAGTTAAAACTAACCCTTTTCACCCCTTCTCGTGACTGTTTCTTTGCTGTTCCTTGCAAATTGGGTTCTACCTTTTTTTTTTTGTTTTTCTTCAGAAAATGGTGGTAGAATACACATCACATAAAATTTATCATTTTAACTGTTTAGAGTGGACAGTTCAGATGCCTTAAGTACATTTACAATATAGTGTCACCGTCACCACCGTTTCTGAGTTTTTCGTCATCCTGGGTAGAGACAACCGCTGAGCAGTAACTCCCCATTTCCTTCGCCGCCGCCTATGAAGTTGCCTATTCCTCACAGAGGTGGAATCACGCAGTGTTTGTCCTTTTGTATCTGGCTCATGTACTTCATGGTCCACCTGTGTTATGGCATAGGTGAGACTTAACTCCCTTTTATGGCTGAATTATACCCTCTTCTATAGCTGTGTCGCGATTTGTGTATCCATGTATCTGTGGATGGACACTGGGATGTTCCCACCTTTCGGCTGCTGTGCATATGCGCTCACATGTATCTGAGTCTGTTCTTGGGGGTATGGACCTAGGAGTGGAATTGTTGGGTTATCTGGTAGATTCATGTTGAACTTTTTGAGGAACTAACCAACTTTTCACATTTAAAACGGCTTTCTTAAAGAGACTCCTACTTTGCTAATTGCTAAATTTGATGACTCCCTCTTGACTCCCACTGGCTTGACCTCTGTCAGTCTTTGTGACACGTGGTGGTGCTGGTCAGTACACCCTCCAGAGGTTCTTCCCCAACTTTGTCATTCTTCTCAGGTCCTTCATAGGCTCTTCCTTCTCCACTTATATGTGGTTGCCCCCAGAGGTTCAATGCTTGCTCCCTAATGCATTTTTGCATTCTTCATTAGTGAAACCCTCCTCAGCTATTATTTTCATGTAACTTAAACTATAATTTTGATGTTTATTTTTAACTTCCCTTAGAGACTTAGATTTGAATCTCAAGCTATGGGCAACTTGTCCAAAACAAAATTTATCTTCCATTCATCCTCCCAAACCTGTTCTCTCCGAGTTCCCAGCTACTAAGACTTGAAAGCTGGATGTTGTTTTTTATTCCCTCTTTCTCCCTTAGGGTCGCACATCCGGTCAAGTTGACAAGTCTTGACAGCTCTGCCTCTGATCCTCCTTTCCATGGACTGTCACAGCTCTAGCTCAAACCATGATTGCCTCTGAGTGGAATTTTTCTTACTGGACTTCACGGTTCTAGATTTTGTTTTCTCTGTTCCATCCATTTTACACACTGCTCCTAGAATTTTCTTCCTAAGATATATTTGCTCAAAGACACCTTCTTTTGCATGCAGAACAAGTTAATTCTCATCCCCAGGGTCAGAGCCCCAGCCTGTCCCCATAGAATTAATTACCTTCCACTAGCCTCATGCAGCCAATATGTATTCATTATAGCCAACCATTCTACTTGCTATTCTATTTGGAAAACTAAAAACAAAAGACATATTGCAGTTTCCTAAGATGAGTTTTCTGCTTGAAATATTTCAGTATTTGGCCACTGAAGTTTTAATCTTTAAGGTCAAACTTAAATCTGAATTTCTGTAAGAAAAAATTTTAAAGTTTTTCATGCAAAATTAATTTCTTCTCCACACGTATTTCTGTATAGTTTGTTTTATATCTTTACTGTAGTACTTTTTGGAGTACTTGCTTTAGGATATACCTGCCTAGAGGTTTATCAATTTTCTTGATTTTTAAAAAGAACCAGCTATTGCTTTCATTGATTTTTTTCCTTTGTTTTCCTGTCTTTGATTTTATTGGTTTCTGATCTAATTTTTTATTATTTATTTTCTTCTGTTAGTCTTAGGTCTAAATTGCTCTTCTTTCTCTGATTTCCTAAGGTGGAAACTTAGGTTATTAATTTCAGATAGTTCTTATTTTCTAATATATGCACTTAATGCTATAAATTTTCCTCTAAGTTCTGCTTTTGCTGTATCCCACACATTTTGATGTTACATTTGATGTTACATTTTCATTTAGTTCAAAATAAATTTCTCTTGAGACTTTTAATTTCTAGATATCTGAGGGTTTGTTTTTTTTTCCTGGTTTAATTTCATTATGTCTAAGAACATACTTTATATGATTTCTAATCTTTTAAGCCTGTTAAAGTGTGTTTTTATGGCCCAGAATGTGGTCTGCATGGGCGAATGTGGGTTAGAGAAGAATGTATATTCAGCTGTTGTTGGATGGAGTTCTATAAATATCAGATCAAGTTGATTGATAATACTGTTCAGGTCATCTGTTTCCTTATGGATTTTCTGTGTGCTTGATCTATCAGTTATTGACTGTTGTTGAAGTCTCCCGCTGTAATAGTGGATTTGTCTCTTTCTCTTTTCACTTTTCTCAGTTTTTGCTTCATGTGTTTTGATATTCTCTTGTGAGGTGCATACACATTCAAGATTGTTACATCTTCTTGGAGAATTGACCTCTTTTTATCATTTAATGACCCTCTTTATCCCTGATTATCAGAGAAAGTCTGCTTTGTTTGAAATTAATATAATTATTCCAGCTTTCTTTTGGTTAGTGTTAGCATGGTATAATTTTAGATCCCTTTATTTTGAATGTATCTAAGTCTTTATATTTAAAGTTAGTTGCTTGTAAATAACAAATATGTCTACATGTTGGGTCTTGTTTTGTTCTGTCCACTGTGACAATCTCTCTTTTGTTTGGGGTGTTGAGACCATTCTCATCTGAAGTGATTATTGATATAGTTGGAATACAAACAGTTTGTAACTGTTTTGTATTCATTCCTTTTTTTCTTTCTTTTTAATTGGCCATTTTATATGATTCACCTTTATCTCTTAGCATTTATTCATTTGCTATTGCTACTGTAACAAAATAACAAACTTAGTGTTGTGAAACAACACAGTTTATTATCTTAGAGTTCTGGAAAGAAGTTAGAGGTTTGAAATGGGTCTCAGTGGGCTAAGCTGAGGATGTTGGCAGGGCTGTGTTACTTTCTGGAGGCTCTAGGGGAAAAGCCTACTCATGGACCTCTTCCTCCATCTTCAAAGCCAGCAATAGTGGGTCAGGTTCCTTTTACATTGCATCATTCTGATCTTCTCTTTTGCCTTTCTCTCCCACATTTAAGGACCCTGTGATTACTTTGGGCCCATCCAGATAGTCTAGAATAATCTCTGTGTTTCATGGTCAGGTGATTAGCAACCTTAATTCCACCTGCTACCTTAATTCTGGGGATTAGGATATGGATATTTCTGGGAGACCTATTCTGCCTACCACATAGCATTATCAATTATATTACCTTTTCTAAAAAAAATTTTGGTGGTAGCGCTAGAGTTTTCACTATACATTTTAAACTAACCTGAATCTGTCTTAACTGTATATTGCTTGATGTGTTGTACAGGTACCTTATTAATAAAGTAGTCCCAATTTCTCCCTCCCATCCTTATGACATTGCTGTTATTCATCCACTTAGTTTGTTATGATCACCCAATACAGTGTTACTCTATTACTTAGTTGTTTTTTAGTGAAGAATAAGAGAAAAAAGATTTTTATTTTCATTTATTCCTTCTCTAATTCCCCCCCCTCCCCCCCTTTGCAGGGCAGGTCTGCTGACAATTCCTCAATTTTTGTTTGTCTGAGCAAGTCTTTGTTTGTCCATCTCTTTTATAGGATAGTATCAATGAATATACACTTACAAGGTAGTGGATTTTTTTCTTTCATACTTTTAAATATTTCACTGCACTCTCTTCTTTTTCCTCCACAGATGAGGTGTTTTCCCTCCCTGTGGCTTCTTTCAGGATTTTGTGTTTTGATTTTCTGAATATGGTATACCTAGGTAAGGGTTTTGTAGATTATTTAATCTGTTTGGTGTTCCCTCAGCTTCCTGGGGTCTGTCATTAATTTTGGAAAGTTTGTGGCCATTATTACTTCAAGTATTTCTTCTGCTTCCTTTTCTCACTCTTCTCCTTCTGATATTCCACTAATGGGTATGTTACGCTTTTTTGAAACCGTCCCAGAGTTCTTGGATGCTCTGTGTTTGCCATTCTTTTTTCCTTTTGCATTTCAGTTTGGGACATGTCTGTTGACCTGTAGTCAAGCTTACTGCTTCTTTGGCTGTGTGCAGTCTACTGATGAGCCCATGGAAAGCAGTTTTCACTGCTGTTAGTGTTCTTGATTTTCCTCACTTCCTTTTGATTCAGTCTTTCTTAGAGTTTCCATCTCTCTTTTTACATTTTATCAATCTGGTCTTGCATGTTGTCTTTTTTTTCCATTAGAGCTCTTAGCATATTAATTATGGCTATAAATTCCCTGCCTGAAAATACCTAAACCTTTGTCATCTAAGGCAGGTTCTAATGATTGCTTTGCCTTTTCAGACTGTATTTTCTCTACCCTTTTGGTATGCTTTGTATTTTGTTGTTGTTTTTGAAAGCCTGGCATGTTGTATCAGGTAATTGGAACTAACAGAGGTTTGCCTCTATGTTTAATGGAGCCTCAGGTGCCAGGGACTTAACATTCTTCTAGTGTCCTTGTTTTTATCTTCCCACGTGACTTTGGGGTTTTCTAAATACAGTACTCTTCCTCAGAGAGAGTCTGTGTCTTGCAGCTCTTTCTGCTATAACCCATCTGTATGATATTTGGAGCCCTGTTGGTGGTAAAGTGTGAAGGAGGGTAAGAGTTCTGTAATCTTCCAATTAAGTCTCAGCCTGTGTCCTTAACAAGTGGTAGAGCCGTTTCCCCCGTGCAACCTATTCCCTTCCCTAGCTGCACTTTCCTTTCTATTTCCTATAAGCCTTGACCTTTGTTGATTATTATTTTACCCCTTAGGTTAGACTGGGACGGTAGAAGGGGCTGGAGTGGGAGGAATGTCCTTTTCCAACCATTGTTATGGAGAAGACTGTGGGCAGGTTTCACAATGATTATTCGTCTCCTCCCTGACAGAGTCACCAGATCTTTCTGGGATCTTGACCTTCACATTGAGGACCTGGTGGGGTTCCTGGAGGTAAACCCCACACAAGTGCACCTTTCCCCTAAGACTGCATCCCTGAAGTTTCTAACTCTTGTGGCTCCAGCAGCTTTTGCTCCAGGTAAGCAGAGCTCAGCTGTGTGTCTCCAGGTTTGGGGTGGCACCCCGCTAACTTCAGTTCTTTGATGGGTCCAGAAGTGTCATTAATTTTCAGTTTCTCAAGCTTTTCTAGTTAGTTGTAAGGATGGAAGTGGGCTTCTAAGCAGAAGTCACTCTATTCTTTTTTAAAATTCAACTTTTTTTTTTTTAAATTGGGGAATTGGGGGGATGGGAACAGCGCTGGAGAATTGGGGGAAGGGGAACAGACAAGTTGCTGTCGTTTTGTTCTTCAGTCTAGTTGTGGAGGACGTTGCTTCACTGGCCCAAGTTGGCACCATCATTGCGCTCTTCCTGGGTGAGGCAGATCAGTCGCCGGCTTCTGGACGGCCGCTCACGGCGGCTGCTGGCTACACACGGCAGCCCATGGCAACCCACTGCAACAGGGGCTGCAGCCTACGCTGTCGCCGGCGACTCACGGCAGCCCAGCTCCAGTTGAGCTGTTGTTCAGCATCTTAGCTGTGGAGGGCAGTGTCACTGGCCCTCATATGTGGGATCCGAACCGGGGTCCTCTGGCGTCCCAAGCCAGCTCTTAACCATCGCGCCACTCGGCCGGCCCTATCTTGCAACTCTTTAGAAAAGCTTTTTGCATGTATTATTTTGTACTTTATAGGCAACAAAAGTAATAAGAACTCTATCTTTATTAAATTTTCTATTTAGACGTATTTGTACAGTGAGATGCTCCAGCCCTGGAGTCAGCCAATCCTGCAAGGAATTCTAGGTCCTTTCAGTGCAGCATGGCATTTAAAAACCATGGTTTACTTTTAGGCACTCTCAATAAACAGAGCCAGGAAATTTTGTATCCTGAGATTTATATTGACTTCTGTATCTAAATATTTAAAAACCATGTGCTTGGACCATGCCAAGATGGCACAGTAGGTAAATGCTGTGCTTACCTTCTCTCACAACCACATAAAAATTACAACTAATCTGCAAAACAACCATTATTGAAAATCGCCTAAAATCTTGCTGAACTGAAGCCCTTCAACTGAGAATGCGCAGAAGAAGCCACATCTAGACAGGTAGGAGGGGCAGAGACATGGAACGGGCTGGTCCCACACGCACGTGTGACCGTTAAAGATCGGGAGGGATATTTCAGCTGTGGGGGCACCCCTCTCCAGCCCCCAGAGGAGTGAGAGGTCCCAGCCCCACCCCAGCCGAGGGTTCCAGTGCTGGGGAGAGAAGTCCCCATAATTTCTGGTTTTGTAAACCAGCAGAGGTTGTAACTAAGATGGAGGGTGGCAGGCCGGCTGAGTGGCGCGATGGTTAAGAACTGGCTTGGGACGCCAGAGGACCCCGGTTCGGATCCCACATATGAGGGCCAGTGACACTGCCTTCCACAGCTAAGTAGCCGAACAACAGCTCAACCTGGACCTGGGCTGCTGTGAGTTGCCGGCGACGGCGTAGGCTGCAGCCCCTGTGGCCATGGGCTACCGTGTGTGGCCAGCAGCCAGCGTGAGCGGCCAGCAGCCGCAGTGAGCGGCCGTCCTGATGGTGCCAACTTGGGCCAGTGAAGCAACGTCCTCCACAACTAGACTGAAGAACAAAGCAACAGCAACTTGTCTGTTCCCCTTACCCCAATTCCCCAGCACTGTTCCCATACCCCCAATTCCCCAATAAAAATCTTTAAAAAAAAAAAAGATGGAGGGTGGCTGCACTCCCAGGCAATCCTCTTAAAGGGACGGCACGTGGACTTAACCCACCAATGGAATTACTTGCTCTGAGCACCAGTGCAGGGGCAGCAGCTGGAGAGGCGGCAGGGACATATGATGGGGAACTGAGTTGTCTGGCTTGAAATGGGGGCTGGAAAGGCGGCTTTCTCCTGGATGGAGGAGCTGGTGGAGGCTGTTGTTTCTTTGTTGAGCTGCCATATCTTGAGTCCCCACTGTTCATTCACCATACCCTGGCAATTGGAAACCTTGCCCACCCAACTTACAGACACACCCAAACTGTTTCCAGTGGCTTTTTCATACAACCGCCTGTCTTAGTTCATGTTGCAGACTTTCCTAGGGTCTCTCAAAGGTTCTTGGAACCCAGAAAAACAGCATCTGTCTTCAGTGTGCCCTGTGCCTCTGGCTGAGCAGCCCTAAGTCTGGCACTAGTGTCAGCAGACCTTGGTTCATGGCTTGGCCTCTCAAGGCACTTTCAAGCACAGCACTGACAGCAGCCATCTATGGATTTCTTTGTGGATCCTGCTGGGTGGCCCCAGTTGGGGCAGGGGCTGAACTTGACCTACAGCATATCCCTTCTAAGGTGGTCCTGGGGCTGGCGCCTCCAGTGGCTAGCCTCAAAATGAGCTGGAGCATTACCTAGCTGCCTCCAAGTACGACACACCCAAGGGACGGATTGGGCAGGCACCAGAGCCCTGTGAGGCAGATCCTGCTCCGTAGGGTCAGCCCCTGCACAACTCTTCCACTGTAGTCAAGACCAGTCCTCACAACCAGTGAGCCCAAGGGTCAGTCCCTCACACCGATGTGCAATTATCAACCAAGGCTCAACTACAAGAGGAGGGCACACACAACCCACACAAGGGGCACACCTGGAGTGCATGGCTCAGGTGACCAGAAAGACTGGGCCATTGGGCCCCACAGCACACCTACTACATAAGGCCACTCTACTGAGATCAGAAGACACAGCAACCCTACCTAATATGTAGGGAGGCCGCCAAAATGGGGAGGCAAAGAAACATGTCCCAAATAAAAGAACAGTACAAAGCTCCAGGAAAAGAAGTAAATGAAAGGGAGATAAGCATTCTATCAGATGCAGAGTTCCAAACACTGGTTATATGAATGCTCAGTGATTTCAGGGAGAACATCAACAGAGAGATAGGAAGCATAAAAATGGAGATGGAAACCATGAAAAAAGAAAGCCAGTCAGAAATAAAGGCTACAATAACGGAAATGAAGAATACATTACAGGGAACCAACAGAAGATTAGATGAAGCAGAGGACCCAACCAGCGATGTAGAAGACAAGGTAGCAGAAAACACCCAACCAGAACAGCAAAAAGAAAAAAAGAATCCAAAAAATGGAGGAGAGTTTAAGGGGCCTCCAGGACAATATCAAGCGTACCAACATTCACATTATAGGGGTACCAGAAAGAGAAGAGAGCGAGCAAGGAATTGAAAACCTATTTGAAGAAATGACAGAAAACTTCCCTAATCTGATGAAGGAAATAGACATACAAGCCCAGAAGCTCAGAGAGTCCCAAACAAGATGAACCCAAAGAGGCCAATGCCAAGACACATCATGATTAAAATGCCAAAGGTTAAAGACAGAATCTTAAAAGCAGCGAGAGAAAAGCAGTTACCTACAAGGGAGTCCCCATAAGACTTGTCAGCTGATTTCTCAACAAAAACTTTGCAGGCAAGAAGGGATTGGCAGGAAATATTCCAAGTGATGAAAAGCAATGACATACAATCAAGATTACCCAGCAAAGCTATCATTTTAGAATTGAAGGACACACAAGGAGCTTCCCAGACAAGAAAAAACTGAAGGAGTTCATCACCACCAAACCAGTATTACAAGGAATCTTAGAGGGACTTCTTTAAGATGGGAGGGGGGTTAAATATAGGTAAAGGGGGACGGGATTAAGAAGTACAAATTGGTTACCGTTACACAGTAGTCATGGGGATGTAGGGTATAGCATAAGGAATATAGTCAATAATATTGTAATAACTAGGTATGGTGCCAGATAGGAACTAATAGATCAGGGTGATAGATGGGAATGGGGTTGGGGGCAGGTTGAAAAAGGTGAAGGTATTAAGAAATACAAATTGGTAGTTAATACAGTATGGGGAATATCAGAAGCACAAGGCCAGGGTTATGTTCTAAACTGTTGCTTTTGTATTTGGAAGTGAGCAGGCTAGGTAGGTGTTGTCAAAAAGAGACAATCAGCAAATAATAATGTAACAGAATATAGGGCCTTTTTCAGAAAACTTTAATAATGCAATCTACCGCCTCAGGAGGTGTAGAAAGCTGACAAACCTAATAGGTCTGACAACTGGCCAATTTCTTTATTTTCTGTGTTGAAGAGTGTGAGCTAGGCTAGAAATCACTGATGACTTCACATTTTTTAAGGAATGGCAAACAGGAACTCATTGGTGTCTTCCTTGCCAGGTGATAGAATGAAATGATTAAGGACAGGTCTGACATCAGATGACTGGGATTCAAATCTCAGTTTCTCCCCTTTTAGCTGTGTGTCTGTAAAACAGGTTACGTAATTTCTCTAAAATCAAGAGGAAAAAAGATAAGCCTTGTACTTTCCCTCTCTATTTTACACCCTAGACTAGTATTTTCTTTTTCTGTTAGCCTTAATTTGCATACGTGACTAATGTACGTAAGCTATTTTGTCAGCACCTTATGCCCCCGAGAAACTCATGGCATACTAGCAGAATATAATACTCAGTAGCCATGGTTTAACGGTATATAATACTCAGTAGCCATGGTTTAACGGTAGTCAGCTCTGCCAGTATTTCTTTGTGCCTTAGGACCAAGCTGGCTATTGACGGCTGTGGTAACGGGGGATTACAGGCGCTTGTTCACATTGGTTATGCTTAAAGCCATTTATTTTAGTTGCTCAGTTATTTGGATATCTCAGAACACTTATTTCTTCCTTGTTCATTTATTTCATTTCATCTGATGTACTTTGGATTTAATCCCCCTTTTATGGGCAGGAGGAGAACAAGAGACAGTAGTTTTCATAGTTTTGGGCTGAAAGTGGTATATATACTGTTCATTTTAGTCACCTCTGTCAGGAGTTGCAGTCTGGAGGCTGGCTGATCAACAGAGCTTTGGCAGTTTTGGAATTTGAATTTCTTTAGGTGGGGACATGCCACCACTCTTATTTGTCCTCTCTCTTTCCTCACTTATCTACTTGGCTTCTGAATACATTTGATTTTTTGACCCCTGTGTTGACATAATATGGGCTATTTTGTTGGAACTGAGAAAAAGACAGCTGCAGTCA